TAGTGGTAGTGGTAGTGGTGGTGGCAGTAGTAGTAGTAGTAGTAGTAGCAGTAGTAGTAGTAGTAGCAGCAGCAGCAGCAGCAGTAGCAGCAGTAGTAGATAGCCGCAGTAGCACCAGTCATGGTATCGTGAACAGCTACAGCAAGTCACGTCCGCTGCGCAGGTCGAGGTCTTCGCACAAGCGAGGGACGTGGCCTCCCAGGAGAATGACCACCCGGGTCCTCCCAGCACCGTCGAGGAGGTGCCGCGATCAGGGAGCGTGAAAAGGGTTTCTCTTTCATGCCGTGGAGCTGTTTTGATGAGCAATCTAATCCACGCTGGGGTACTAACTCCGCAGGAGGTTTCTGTGGAAGGAGGACGAAGTCGTACGACTAGGGATACTGCATGCAATTCTTTGCGGTTTTAGTTCTATTCAGTTTCAACCACAAGTAGGAGCTGTTTTCTCCCGCACACCCGGCGTGGTTGGTCGTGACTATACCTTCGAGCCTGCCGCGAAGCTCCGCAGAAGAAGTCCTCCGTGACTTCCCAGGATGGTTGGGAACCGCCGCCAAGACCCTCCATGCCGGCAATGCCAGGCAAGACAACGGAGGGAGTAGCTCAGCCTGGTTTCTTGATACTCATGCGTGTTTTGGCCCTCCCTCCAGGTCCTCCAAGCCTCGCTGGCATAGCTGCAGATGCCACCCTCGGGTTCACGCCTGAAGGGAGGTGCGGCGTTCTTGTGCTGCTTGAATGCCCAAATCGAGAGCACGTGAGGTCATCTCTGCACGACTCTCTTCTGGAAGGTCGGGGTGTGAAACACATCACTGGTGATGTGCATTTCAGCGAGATCCTGGCACTGAGTTCCGGAAGTGCGGCCGTTGGCAGGTTCTGACGATGTTGATGCAGACTTGCCCGGTGTAGGCCAACGTTCGGCAAGTGTTTGTCAGGAATCTAAACACCCTCGCAGTGCTCTCCGGTGCTTGGCGTTTTGCCGACTCCTCCTCTGAATTCTGGTGAAACATCTTCTCCAAGGAATCCTCCGGCATTTTCCGAAACACCCTTTGAAGGCGTTGCGGAAAGGCGGGAGCCCGAAGCTCACACCATGAGCTTGGGAGTGGAGACGCCTTTACTCAGTGCCCTGCTCTTAGCCAGGCTTGGAGTCATTTCTGCCTGTTTTTCTCCTCAGCGGAGGGTCAGGAGTCATTTTTCTGGAGCATGGGGTGAGCTTGCGCAGAGCGCCTGTACATGGCGCTAGTAGGATGAAGCTCTGATTCCAAAAACTAGGCCGGTTAAAAGACAAAACACCCTCGGCTAAGCCCAAGTGTATTTGATTTTGCATTGACGACGGGAGTCTTGCCGCAGCCGTGGGCCCTTTTTTGTTCTGGATCCGTGGAAAGTCAGCCCGTCCTCTAACGACATGGGTGCATCTCGGCTGCAGTGGCATGCAGATGTGTCATTTCGTTTCCTGCAGCTTCTGTTATTGCTATATTTGCTTCGATGTTCAACAAAATGTCACAGAGTCTGTACATGCGTGTATGTCTCCACGGTTTTTATCGTTGGCCGAACAGGTTCGTATGCAACGAGAAGATGATGAGAATCGAGGAAGAACTGCTGAGTGTACATGGCACAAGCAAGAGCACTGTGCACAGATGGCAGGCATTTTATCAGAATTGTCTTACGACCTACATGAATGCACAGAACCTCAACAAGGTCGGTGGTCACAAGAGACGCTGTGTTGTGGACGCAACCGCTGTGGGGAAGGTGGGAGTCTGTGTGGGCAAACCAGCATCCAAGCTAGGATCAATGACCAGATGTCCAGTGCGCATATTGAAACGCGAGCCATGCAAGACTACATGGAAAACAGCAACAGCCACAGCGACAGCGACAGCAACAGCACCAGCACCAGCACGAGCACGAGCGCGAGCACCAGCAACAGCAGCTACGACGGCGGCGGCGGCGACAGACAGGAGTAACGACAACAGCAATAGCAACAGCAGCAGCACCAACCGCTGCGGCTGCATCGTATCAGGACTTGGGTCATATGAGCAATGAAAACGACGAAAGGCTTCGCATCCGTCGCATCTCAGGCGAGTCACTCTGTTGAGCTGAACGCAAATGCTGCGTGCCCCGGCCAGCCGGGCACTCTTTGCCACGCGGCCGCCATTCCCAGACAGCTTGTGTGTTTTAGGCCCCTTTCTCACGCCTTTATTGCGTCTCTTATCAGAGGGCTTGGGCATGGACAGACCTCCTTGATGGTTTCGGGTCAAGTTCTCAGACATCCTTGATGGTTTCGGGTCAAGTTCTCAGTTGCCAGTTTGCAAGCATGAATCCTGATGCTGGGTTAAGGTTTAATCTGCCAATAACTTGAGTTTTTTGGGAGGGGCGACTGATTCCAGGTTGCGCCAACTGCCACCCAGGCACCCCAACTAGTCCTCAGGACGAGCGTGCTCACTACTCCAGTGGATGGGAAGTATGTTAAATAATGTATGTTAAGTATTCTTCGAATGTCCCAGGCATTGCCAGTGAGCCGCTGCATGCTCTGCCAACGCCGGTGACAGCAGAAGAAGCCTACGAGGAGGCCAAAGCTGTTATGAGGCGGGTCAGTTTGACATCACGATTCTGAACAGATTGGCAATGAAAAGAGTTGCTTACAGCAGGTACCCAGTCGACTCAGTTGCCGAGGGCTTGATGAAGAAGTTCGAGCTGACTGAGGTCGATGCCAAGACTTTCGTCGTAAAGGCACTGCGAGACGTGCAACAACAAAGACCTGTCCTCAACCGTAGTCCCATCTCAATCACTAAATGCGGTGTCACCTCATTGAGGTTTTCTTGGAGGGTCGTATTGGGGCCGGTTCAACAGCAAAGCACCCTCCCATTTGGATCTTGCCGAAGCTCCATCTTGCACCGCTAGTGAAGGCAGATAAGTCATGAAAGGCGATCTTGGATGGCCAAAAGTTGGACAAGTTCGGCTACGGCAAGGGCGATGGCACAGACAGAGTGAGGTTGTGGAAGAAGGTGGTGATGGATGAGCCTGGGCTGGATTTGGGGAGCTCACAGCTTTGAGCAGTAACTAGCCATTCAGAACAGGCCGGGAGCACGAGAGTCCCAAACCTCCTTACTTTCCATGCCGCCGAGGATGCTGCCCTCACCCTGACAGTGCAGGATTTTGTCCCGGAGGCGGCTCTGGGTGCATGGGTCGGTGAGGCCTCGGACAAGGTTCCTCTCAACAACTGCATCGTTCAGTTCGAGAGAAGCCCGCCGCGACTGCTTTTTATATTCGATGACCAGGAAGGCAAGCGACAGGCGGACGATGCAATGAAGAACTCCCTGTATTCATGGTCGGATGCCATCGTCGGTGGTGTCATCACATTCAAGACTTCCAAAGTGCAGGTGACCGGAAATGCGCCCTCCATCGTAGATGGAGGAAAGTCGCAGAGCATGATTACATCTCCCATGGACGATCTCGTGGGATACGACAAATTCTGGGACCAGCACCTCAAATATTGCAAAGACTTCGTCAGAAATGCCACAGCCTCAGCTAAAGAGTGACGATGATCGTGATGATGAGCAGTTGGAATGCAAGCATGATGACGATGGTGGTGGTGGTGGTGGCGCTGCTGCTGCTGATATGATGATTAAGAAGAAGACGAGGGTTAATGATGATTGGTGTCAGTCTCATTATGATGCTGGTGATGCTCTGGCTGGTCTGATTGGTCATGAAGTGAGACGATGACGATGATGGTGCTGGTGATGATGATTCAGGTGGCAGTGATGGCAATGATGGTGCGAACAAAAGTGCGGTCAGAATAAGGCTGTTGTTTGTTGTTGTGGTTGTGGGGACACGGCTTTAAATTTCTGCTTCACAAGTCTCTGAATTATTCTGTACAGCTGGTGCTGTGGCAGCCAGAATTGCCCCGCTATGAGCAGAGCCCGCTCGCTCAGCGTCCAATAAAATTGCTGTGTTTGTGGTTGTTGTTTGCCAGGCCGTTTGTCGGCGTGTCATTTCTGTGCATGAGTTGTTCACACTTCACTCTGCCGACACCTTGTCGAAGGTTAGATGCAAAGATTCCTGCAGATGAGGTATACTAGGGCCACTATGACCTTCATTTTGAGGGTGTTTGACATGTGTGCTGTTGCATTGACACATCCACTGGCCCAGATGCCTGGAGCTCAGTGCGAAGACATCTCCCCCGACGAGCTCCTTGGAACGACATGGAAGTAGAGCCGCTTTTATCACTATCCACGCAGGTATGTTCGACTGCAATCTGTAGAATGGCTTCGCCCTTTTCTTGCCTAAGGTTCAAGGGCACGGTTGTTCTCGACCCCGCCAACCCGTCCGAGGTCTGCCGTCTTTCAGAAAATACGTCAGGTTTTCTCGGAAGTGAGAGGGCTGACAATGGTGCTAGTGGTTGCTCTGGTGATCAGGGCAGCTCCCTTTGAGCTGCAAGGCATCATCTAGCAGACCTGACATTCATCTGGCCGCGCTATGCCACGCCAGCGCATGCAGCGTTACAGCTCTGCGTTTGTTTCCATGAGGACTGTGTTTATTGTCGACGGGTTTTCATGACTCAGCAGCACATCTCCAGCGGCCATGCAAGCCGTGCCTGCGTGCCACTTGTTATCCTTCGACACGCTGCGTTTCGGGAGGTTACGAGTCACAAGATCGTCTCATCGAAGTCCGACAGCAAGGCCGAAGACAGCACTTACAGGACAGTTCGTGTTCGAGCCATCAGAATCCTGCGTCAGGTCAATTGGACCGTCGAGTATCAGGGCAAGGCCGGCTCAAGCCTTCCGGGTCTTTCTTGTAGGGGCAGCTAGTTTGTGCTAACGCACTACCAATTGACCCGCGGATTATTCTTGTTTTTGCTTGTTGTTGTCTGCTTCTGTGTGTGTGTGTTTTTTTTTTTGGGGGGGGGGGCTAGTTTCGTTCTGTCTG